GAAGCTGATGGTGAGAGTGCATCGAAGAGTTGGGCAGACTTTTTGTCAAACAGCAATATGAAGTAGTTTGGATCGATCGCTATAGGCTTGATGCTGGATCTGGAGGATTCACCTGCTAGATACCTTAGAACCCAGCGTGGGGTTGTGACACTCGCATGTCACGTGGGGGCTGGGAATGGAATCCTAGTTCGGAGGGACCTCTGGACAGTGCAGGGTGGGACGAGGACTGCTCGTTAAAACAGTATATACCGCGTATGTGGTACCTTTCAATTGTGCACAGTCTAAAACGCATGAGTTGTTGACTGTCCTGCACAGCCGTCAAGACTTTTTGCAGTGGTCCCTTGTTGAAGATTTAAAGAAATTGTGTTTTCCGATGTGTCGCCAAACCCGTGCAATAGATCGCACCCTGGCGCTCTGGATCGAAAAGAATGCAACCATGCTCAGTTCGTGTTATTGGGAACTTTTTGGGAGAGGACTGCCTAGACTCCCACGTGTCCATTGCTTAGCTTACAATAATCGCTCGAGCGCAGGTACAGCTACAACTGCTCCATCGGGTACCAACGCTGTTTTGCAGAATGCCCTGGAGGATGTGAGTTCATGGGTGCCTTGGCAGTCAAGTCATGAATCAACTCTCTATTCCGAAACTTTGCCCCAAGAAGGTCACAGTTGATTGCCCAGCTGCGTGATCACGCATGACCATGCCCAAGTTGATTCCTGGCCCCGCCTTCATCAGCTGACGTCCGCTCAGGCCAGCTCTGTATTCAAGACGATGAAGCGCATCAGGTCTCATGTCCAAGCACCTTGCAAGCAACATGGAGCGGAGGTGATGGGTGACAAGAATTGGGGATCCTCTTGGCTCCAATCAGTGGTTCCGCTCATTCTCGGAAGTTAGTGGGTTAGGCCTGGGAAAATATGTATGGAGGGCCATGAGCCCTTGCGAGTAACAGGAGTTTCAACATATGTACAACGTACATGTGTACAAAGAAAATGAATATGGCCGATGGATGCTACGTACTATCACATCGTGGATCGTACTATTTTTCTTGATTATATTATAATGTGTCTCATCCAAAGTGAAATCTTTTGAGCACCCCCTGATCGAGGAAAGTGGCCTTGCATGTCATCCTGACTCACTTCGACTAGCCTCCAAATCTGTCCACAATTCATCTCGTGACTTTTGGAAAGCGAATGACATCCCTGTTGCCCCTGGGCCTGATTCGATAAATCTTTGACTTCTCGATCTCAGTATCAATCGCCTCAATTTTTGATAGGGGTTGAAACGTGTTGAAACAAGGTCATAAATAAAATCTTGGCTGAGTGGCTGGGCCCATGACAAACCAGGAAATTGAGCGCATTTGGGTTCCAGTCTCTGATGAGAAAATACCCGCTGGATACCGGCTTGAGCAACAACCTATCCTGTTTCCTCATCGATTGATGGCCTTTGTTTTCAACACGTGTCAGCTGGAAATTGCAAAGGCTGACGTCCACCAGTTTTGGGACAATGCCATTCGAGCTGGGGAACCTTATGCCAAACCGGCCATGCGAGAAAGGATACCTTTGGGGTTCTACGGGGACGCGGCCCAGTTGATCACGAAGAGTCGTGTCGAGAAGCTGCTATGCTTCTGGATGAACATTCCGATTTTTCGACCAAAATCGATCAGGTACTCCCGGTTTCTCCTTTGGTCCGGCGATGTTTCGCAGCTCTACAAGACTAGGACCATTTATACGGTCCTCCGGTGGCTGGTTTGGTCATTCAATACCCTTCACGAAGGGGTTCATCCATGGTGGTGACCAGGAAACCGGCCACTAGCATCTCAGGCAGAAAGGGACCTAGCTGGTACATGGTTGACAGATGCTCATCACCAATTCGGAATGGTGGAGATCAGAGGCGACTGGGAATTTCACAAAATGGTGTGGCAATTCAAGTGCAGCTGGAAAGGAGGTGTCAATGTTGGAATTTGCTTCCGTTGTCCAGCTATGGCCCGATGCCAAGACAGCGGTCTGTTGTATTGGAATATGGATGAGACTTGTTCTTGGGTGCAACAGGAGTTCGACACGGTCGAATATATTTGCAAAAGGCTTCCACCTCACAATATTTGACCCTCAACATGATTAGATCGAGAATATTTGTGAGCACTATAGCTGGAATTGCCAACTGAGACATCATCTTCTTTTGGTGGACAGTCACACGATACATATTAAACTTTCAAGTTCATATCTAAAGTGGTGTTGTGATCTCACTCAATCCGTGTGAGGCCCACTCTTGCGCTTGAAGAGCTTTGACCTGTCGATGATAAAGTGGTGTCTCATGCACTGCTGCAACTTGGGGATTTTGATGAGCCTCAACGGTGGAGCCCTGACCCTTTGCAGCACCCAACCCCAAATCCTGTCAAGACACCTGCAAAACAAGAGGTCTATGCATAGATCGGTTTCCAGCATGTTGGGCAGGTCCTGGCATGAAGGTTGGTGTGGGACATGTATAAATCAGAGGCTTTAAAACACATGTATATAGATCGAGATCAGGATAGATCTGGGTTGGGGCCCTCATTTGATTCAGGATCATGCTCACAGAGGAGTTGGAGTACTATGGGGGAGGATCACTTCAATTCCAATTCGACGAAGCCTACAAGGACTTCATTGGCCATTGCCGGTCAAGAAAGCTGGACCACTCGCAACCACCTTTCAAGGTGTCCAAGGTTCCCTGCTCACATTATGTGGCTGTTAAACATTAAATGTATTAACCGGAAAATCGAGTTTGCACAATGCAGCCGTATATATTAACATCTACAACCCTCACACGAGCAAGTTTCCCAGCCAAGGTGGTCTATCCTTTTGAGATTACCATGAACGCAAAGGCTTGGAACGGCAGAGTGGTTTGCGCATGGCTGGCTGAGACTTTGCCCCTGGCCGCTCAAGCGTTCGATCGTGGGCATGACGGTGGCCGAGTCACACTGACATGTCACGCCTTGACCCTTGTCCTATACTGCTAGTACTTGTTTCGTTGCGATTCGATGTATATATCAACCCCTGTAATCGTCCTCGTTCACCATTCCAGCTGGCGCACTCGTGCCATGGGTGTCACATGCACATTCGAACTGTGTGCCCTGAGGAAATGCATGTCCAGGTTCTTCTGGCTTCTCGAGACGAACCCACGAGAATTGCTTCTCGATTGATCGATTTTTTGAGACATGTAGGCATGATGTGTGTCCTGCTTTTTTTGGGCTGTCTATATTAGGCCTGTGACCTTTTAAGTATTACTGCACTGCCTCGTATATAAGGTCGCAACAGTCAGCGCTATCCATCTATCGGGAGGGGCGATGCTTTCTGAGAGCATTTCAATCACTGAGCTTTCTCTCTATTCGCCGGTCGAGACCTACGTTCTTGACCAAACCTAAATTCCACGTACCTCAGCTCTGATGGTTATGGGGTCTATATATTTTATGGTTTCCCTACAAGTCCAAAGACTATTAAATATTAAAATGAGCGTTCCCAGAAAGACCCTTTTACCCTTTCAACGCTGCCACCCTGGGCTTGATCCGGCTGGCAGCTGCTGAGGCAATGCTCCACATCCTGCAGGATGTTTTGCGGTATAGAGCCTTGACTTGGAGGGCGCTTACACACGCAATCAAAAGGTTTATGGGAGTTCGAATGTTGCTGCATCGATCCAACTGGTGCCAATAATCCATGCATGCATGCATGCAATGCATGCATGGATCCTTTTGTCCATCGGTCCGCTGAGTCATGCATCTGTCTAAATTAGTTGGTACGTACATGTCGACGGTGTCAATTTCTTTATCAACCTACCTGGGCCCGATAGCAGGTCAGCTCGAATGCATCGATCGATCAACTTCGAATCGTTAGCATGAATCCTCGGTGGTGTTCTTCTAAATCGGCCGATCGATTGAACAAATACTGGGATCGATATTTAACGAGCCAAGGAAAAAACCCAAGATTCTATCTATCATACCTTTGCTGATGAAGATTCAATGCGGTGGAGCAAGAGCCTCTTGTCAGAGTCTTTCTCGATCGATCGACAAGTGCCCTACAAGTCCAAAGACCTAAAATGATCGTTCCCATAAAGACGTATTAAGCAAGACGTTCCCAGAAAACCCAGAAAAATGAGCAGTGCAGTTAGTATAAGCAAATCTGAGGCTGTGCGCGGTATTCTAGGGCAAAATACCGTCCTCTATGGCTTCTGAAGTGTCAGCGGTTGAGGCGCTGTGTTGTTTTGCAGCAGTTTTGCGCCCACCAGACCAACAATCATGTGGACCATGCCTTTCCAGGCTTCTATCGATGAAGTATAAAATGAAAGAGTGCCCTGGGAGCATTGTGACAAAAGTATGATGCACGCTACATGATCCATGGATCCTGATCCAAATCTCTTGAACTATCCCAAGGATTCGAAGCCAACGTCATCTTGGATGATCAAGCCAGCCACCGCACAGAAGAAAAAGCTTGTTGAACGTGATCGATGCGTGAATGGTCAAACAAGTAAATTCAAGTAATAGTCTTTCCCGGAAAAGGGTCTTTCTGGGAACGCTCATTTTAATAATAGTCTTTGGACTTGTAGGGTATATATAAATATGCCTATATGTCTATATATATATATGATTGATTGATTGATTGATTGATTGATTGATTGATTATTAGTGAATTGTATGTGACATATTATGTGATTGATGGCAGCATCTTTGTCATTGTTCATGAACATGCAGGCTGCCGGCTGATTAAGGGTGACCAAGGCAGATGATTCAACTGGACAAAACTGTGCATGGGTTTGCAGACAAAACTGGCCAAGCAACCAAGTAGGCAAAATTGAGCTTCGACATTCCCTGAGGGGATGTTAGGGAAATGCTGTACGTCCCAGTAATCCCCTCATGAAAGAAGTGCTGATGTGGCCCTCGCAGCACCACTAAGCTGCACTAAGTGCACTCCAAGTCGTCCGGGTGCGGTCAATTGCATGGCCTGGCCTGGCACAACAACAGCGTCTGGGTTGACAGGTCACAAGCGTGGAGTGTGATTTACAAGACTTCGAGAGCTGCTCGGCAGGAGCTTCGTCTCTTGAGCTTCGAACTCGGAAAAAAGCACACCGTTCAAGATGTTGAAGCGTTGGAGCCTGCAGGTTCGGGGCGGCGATGTGTGTGGATTCGTAGCACCTGCAAGGGTGTCAGAAGTTGCCCTTTCCAACACGCCCGTTTTCTGGGTGCACTGGAAGCGCGAAGCGCGACTGGGGGGATGAGAAGGTTGAGGATCGATCAACATCGAGGTATGAGGTGTAGAGTCGCAATAAGACTACCCATGCCGTGCCAAGCGTCAACATTTGCATCCAAGATACTCATGATGGAGAGCATCTTGGGCCGTTGGTGCCTACCGGCTGTGATAGAGGAAGGTTGAAACTGATGATAGTACGCCGTGGCGGTCACCTCCTTGTTCGTAGTGTTGTTGTATAACCAACTCCAGTAGTTCATGAGGTCATTAGACCTGTAGGGTGCGTCTTTCCGACATCGGGATCTTCGATGTCGGAACATGCCCTCCAACGGAACATCCTGGGATTGATACCACGCTTGGTGGGAAACCTGGATGCAACTACGATGAACATCATGACCTTACCCTCTATATTATGTCATTATAAATGATTAATATATGATTGTTTGCAACTGTATTTTGTGTTTGTTTTTTCTTTTTGTGGTGGCCTCACTTGAGACACATTGCAACACCACACATTTGAGGTCGACTCTCTCACAGCTGTGCACAGCACAGTTACTCTTCATCGTTCTGAGGCGTCCGATCTGCCGCGCAGAAACTGAAGACGATGTTTAAGAGCAAGGGCGTGGACACTTGGAGAAGGTGTTTTAGGGTTTGGGCCGGGTGTATAGGAACGCACTCCAAGTCACTCACAGCTGTGCTGTGCAGTCCTGGACACTTGGTTTCGGGTAAGGGGTTTTAGGGCCGGGTGTATAGTTTTCATGGACCTTAGGACGGCAGCGTCGAGGATTCGCGCAGCCGCGTCCTCCGGGTTTGGTGGTGGATCCTGCCGGTCGTTTCTCCGAAGGTATAGGGTGAATGGATCTTGCCACTGAAGCGATGGCATCCACCTAGTAGTTTCTTGTTACTAGTAGCGATGGCCTCCAACCTAATAGCGTCCTTGCTACTAGTAATATTGGTATAAAAGGATCCACTGGGTGAGAGAAGAAAAGGGGATTGGCTATAACCAGGAGAACGGTGATCCTCACTGTTCTCCCTGTCCTCAGTTACAGTAAGAAAGTGTGTTCGGTCGCTGATCAAATCCAAGGATGTCTTATGCAACAATGCTGGAGTGATGGCTCTGGCTGATCAGGCCAGCCGCAGTTTGAGCCCAAACACGGCCATTTTGCAGTTCGGCGAAAACGGTTCAGCGTTTCTTTCCTCCCCCATGTCGTTTCCTGCAAATCTGTTTTTGCAAATTATATAATTTTTTATACAATAAATGATAGCACCAATGTGGCACGTGTTCGGTTCAATGTGGCTGAATCACTGTGGATCAGAATCAGAATCAATGACTGTTAACTTGCACACTCCCCATTGAATTGTCCTCTTGAATATGGTTGTTTCAGGGGTCGAAACAAGGCATAATAGATATTTGCAACATCGGTCGGTGCCACTGGGTGTGACTTGGTGCCAGCAGATCCATCGGTCAGTCCTGGAGGCCACAAAAGATGGCTACGATGTGCAGATGCAGACGAACCACTTGTCCCATTTTCTCCTCACCAAGGACAGGGGGTTATCGGTTTTGATATGTTTTGATCTCAAGGTTGTTTGTGAGAAATCTTCACCTGCAAATCTGCGCCAAAATGGAAGTAGTCAGTGCAGTGCAGCATTGATATTGGCATGCAAATGAATCCACAGGACATAGAGCTTTGACTGACAGTAGAGTTGTAGGTCACACCATAGCTTCAAACTGTACCACTAGCGTCACCAGACCGGGATCGGCTAGCCTCCACCATGCTCCTACTTGTAGACTGCCTCCACCCACTTGGTACCCAACTTCAGCTCCCTCTCCCCTGTGAGGAGCTTTATCCTCTCCTGCAGAAGGCGGCCGATCAACGGGGCGAGGCCCGTGTGGTCCAACACACCTCAGGCCGCTTCGACCGACACGCCGCACCGTATCGGTGCAGTGGAGCTCGTTTTCCACCATGTTCCAAGGTTCATTCGTGGGACGTGGGGCCGAGGTTGGGCAGCTTTGTTTGTTTAATTAAGCCCACGGTGCGGTGGTTTTTGATGGTTTTGGGATGTTTTTGGTCCCCGGGTGGTTTTTTCGCCCTTCTGCCAACGAGACTCGAACACCCTAGAAAAAACAGGTAACCTGGAAACTGAGGGGAGTTCAGATATATAATAAGATTGTTCATTCACATTCCTTTTGCCAATCATGGTTCCTTTCCCCAGACGCCTGGGCTTTGCCCCCAGGTGGTCGCAAGTTCCCGACCACTGAGCTCCAGGCCCGCGCGACTGGTTCGACCCACGTTCTTCCCGCCGTCAACCACCTGGTGGACCTAGGGCACATCCACAGATCAAATGCCCTGGTTTTGCGGGATCAGGTGATTTGGACATTTGCCCAGGTCGGGGTGAATCCCCACACCGTGTTTGTTTTTGTGTTTTTTCCCGGTTCCATCCGGTTCCATCCGAGCCACCTTCTCCAAGATGCCCTGGTTCCAAGCCTGGAACGGAAAGCGCGACCGGTGACCGGGCCTGCCCCGTTCGTAGCGTCGTTCAACGCATCGGGTCCAGCACGGTGCAACTGCTTCACCCGCCCTCTACCGTACCCGTACCCCTTTCGATTTGCATCAGTGGCGTTTTCCACAGTGGTGTTTTGGTTACAAGGAGTCCAAGCAAATCCCAAACTCTAAAACATTCAAACACCCTACAGGTCCAAAAGACTTTGTCCTTTACCTTGTTGAGTGTGTTTTTTGTGTGTTTTTAATGACCAACTCCAGTAAAGTGAGATATTTGACCTGTAGGTAAAACATTCTAAAGCTTATCCTATATAGTGGCTGGCAGGTGGCTGAAGTGACAGCTGAGCCATGCTGAGTTAAAATGAATAATCTGAACACAGGGTTTGAATTTGCAACATGTGTGCATGTTTGTGCATGACCAATGTTACTTATGCATGCAATTTTGCCGCCTGACGGTGACATTGGAACATGTGCAATTATGGCAATCAGCCGAACTCACATGCACAACTGTATTATATACCAGGGCCCCCCAAGGGCTGTCTAAAGTAGCACCTGAGAGGATAAGGGGTGTCCATTAACCACCTTTATGGGTCCCTGGTACAGGAACGCGTTGTTGTTCTTCCTGCTAAGAGAAGTTGTGTGTTTGTTGAACTGGGCCTTGTCCAATGCTCTTGTGACAGACTGCAAACATCACGGTAGTTCAGGATTGATTGGGTACAGACACTTTTCTTTTCTCACAGTTCATTCCCATGTCCTTGGTGGAACAGCTTAGATGCTGTTTGCCTTCCAAAGAAGTCACTGACATGGTGCTTAGTTAGGGAAGTTTCGGGAAGTTTCGCCCCCAATAGAGATTCAAATAAATCCAGCCACCCACATTTCCGACTTTTGTCGCACAGGTCACCTTCAGAAATCCTCAATTTGGGAGGCCTCACTGCCACGTCACCAATGGTTCGACCTGTTAAGATGGCCGTTCCCAATCCTTCGCTCCGCTGAGGCCAAGTATCTCCAGAAGAATGGTGGCGCCTCGCCCGCCATGACAGACCAAAAAGCCTCGGCAACTCTGTTTAGGCCAGCTGTATATAAGTTGTTTTGTGTTGTTTTCTACGGGTTCGCTTTAAAACGAGGGCATGGATCGGACCCGACTCATCCTTCAGTAAACTCTCCAGTGCAATCCAATTGGTTGCACAGTACAGCCTAGCCTAACCCAGGGTCGGGGTGGTGGTCAAGAGAAACCTATCTAATTATATACATCCCAGGGGTTGTTCAGGAACACCCAACAAGCAGATCTATTCACTATTCAATGTCTCTGGACCTCAGCCAACTCCAAACCCAAATGAACTTCATCGTGTTTATTTGAAGATTGTCCTGGCAAACCGGTCAGACTTACGGTAAGACTTACTTCAATGACTTACTTCAATGTCAGCTCGGGCGGAAACTCCAATGCCAACTCTCCCTTTGGTACGAAACGGATCTCTTGCCGGATTCGGCCAATCCGTAAAACATCGGCTCAGCTGGGCCGACGTTTCGGGCAGACACGTAAGGGGTGAAACGCCAAGCGAACGTCCTGTTCTGCACCAAAATGTCTGAGGCAACCTGGGCGGCAATGGCAGCTCCATGTTCTTCGGCGGCGCACGCTGGGAGAGGCACGCTCGCCGTCGCTCGGAACGGCTCACACCGGAGGCCCCGTAAAACGGGGAGACCAAGGCAGGCGCGGTTTAGGCAGGTGCGGAGGATGTGGCTCTCCTCAGCACATTGGTTGGTCAGTTTGGTTGGTTGGGTTGGTATGCCTTCCGAAGAATCCTTTGGACCATCTTGCACAGTTCCAGTTGCAGAGAAGCAAACCCTCGAAGCAGGGCTGCTGAATGATGGACGAAGTCACGAAGCGCTTCCGGTGGAGTCCGCGGCCGCTGAACCATAGCCCACGGCGGAGAGCTCTGTGGCTTTGAAGTGGCGATTAAGGTGAAGATTGGCCTCAGCGCCACTGGGGCCACGGCGGATCTTCCGATATGTCGCATGTATTCACACGTGGCTTGAGAATGATCTTGGAGTATGTGCCTGAATTGTTGGGAAATTTGATTTGGTAAGTTGGCGCTACTGGCAAGATCTCACAAGGAATCCTGACTGAGTGCCCAATCATCTTACACTGTCAGGTTGATGTTACTATCTCAAGATTCTGCACATGACGTTCATGTTGCAATATATATATAATGTGATTGTATAGCTTGAAATTACCTTAGACTGTGCCACAGGATGACGAAACTCTGCGCCCTTTCTTACGGCATGGAGCCATGCTTTTTGTGGTGAGCAAAAGAGAGATCTGCAATCCTGAGTGGGCACGCGAGCAAACAGCTAAACTTCTAAAACAGTTGAATCAGTTGAAGAGCAGATGTAGGGTTGGCTTTAATCT